TTTTCTATGTCTACTGAGATAATCATACGACTTTTGTCCTTGATTTTGTTGATGTGGTGTATCACATTTATTGACTTGTATTATGTTGAACCATCCTTGCATCCTTGGGAATGAATCCCACTTGATTGTGATGTATAATTTTTTTGACGTATTGCTGCATTCTGATTGCTAATATTTTGCTGAGGATTTTTGTGTCTATGTTCATCAAGGATATTGGCCTGTAGTTTTCTTTTTTTGTATTTTTGTCTGGTTTTAGCATCAGGGTGATGCTGGCCTCACAGAATGAGTTTGAGAGAATGGCTTCTGTTTCAATTTTTTGGAATAGTTTGAAGAGAATTGGTATTAATTCCTCTTTAAAGGTTTGGTAGAATCCAGCAGTGAAGCCATCTTGTCCTGGACTTTTCTTTGTTGGGAGACTGCTGATTACTGCTTCAATCTCATTGCTTGTTATTGGTCTGTTCAGGTTTCCTATGTCTCCTTGGTTTAGTCTTTGTAATTTGTATGTGTCGAGAAATTTATCCATTTCTTCCAGGCTTTCAAATTTGTTGGCAGAAAGTTGTTTTTACTAGTCTCTAATGATTCTTCGTATTTCTGTGGTATTAGTTGTAATGTCTCCTCTTTCATTTCTGATTTTTGTTATCTTGGACTTCCTTCTTTTTTTAGTTAGCCTTGCTAATGGTTTGTCTATTTTATCTTCTCAAAAAAACAACTTTTTGTTTCATTGATCTTCTGTATCATTTTTTGGGTCTCTATTTAATTTAGTTCTGCTCTTATCTTATTTCTTTTCATCTACTAATTTGGGGGTCAGATTGTTCTTGCTTTTCTCATTGAGGTGTAGCATTAGGTTGTTTGTTTGAAAACTTTCCATTCTTTTGATATGTGCACTTATTACAATAAACTTCCCTCTTAGTACTGCTTTTGCTATATCCACAAGTTTTGGAATATGTCTTTATTTTCACTACTGTCATAAAATTTTTTGATTTCCTGTTTAATTTCTTCTTGGACCCAAGGGTCATTCAAGAGCATGTTGTTTAATTTCCATGCATTTGTGTAGTTTCCAGAATTTTGTTTGTTATTGATTTCTAGTTTTAATCCACTGTGGTTTGAAAAGACTCTTGAAATTTTTAAAAATTTGTTGATACTTGATTTGTGACCTAACATGGAGTCTATCCTGGAGAATGTTCCATATGCTGATGAGAAGAATGTATATTCTGTAGCTGCTGGATGAAATGTTCTGTAGATATCTGCCACGTCCAATTGGTCTAAGGTGTAGTTTAAATCCTGTGTTTCTCTGTTGATTTGTTTCCTAGATGATCTGTCCAATGCTGAGAGAGGTGTGTTCAGATCCCCAACTATTATCATATCAGGGTTATCTCTTTCGTTAGGTCTAATAGTGTATGCTTTATACATCTGGGTGCTCCAGTGTTGGGTGTATATTATTTATGATTGTTATGTCTTCTTGCTGAATAGATCCCCTTATCATTATATAATGGCCGCCTTTGTCTCTTTTTATGGTTTTTGGTTTAAAGTCTATTTTATCTCATATATGAATAGATACTCCTGCTTGTTTTTGACTTCCATTTGCATGGTATATCTTTTTCCATCCCTTCACTATTATTCTGTATGCATCTTTACCAGTGAGATAATCCTCTTGAAGACAGCATACAGTTGGGTCTAGCTTTTTAATCCAATCAGTCTGTCTGTGTCTTTTGGGTGGAGAATTTAATCCATTTACACTTAGGGTTGTTATTGAGAAGTACTGTCTTATTCCTGTCATTTAATTGCTTTTCCTATGGTTGATTTAAATATCTTTTTTTTCCCTTTCTTTCCCTGTTATTGTTTGTCTTCAGTTTTCCACTCTTATTTCACTGAATATGTTTTCAATGCCTTTTCCTTTCTCCTCCCCATCCAGAACACCCATGACTTGAATATTTGTGCACTTAAGGTGGTCTGTTAGCTCTCCTAGATTCTCATTTTTTTAAATTCTTTTCTTTTCTTTTGTCTGCTTGGGTATTTCAAAAAGACCATCCTCAAGATCAGAAATTTTTTCCTTTGTTTGCTCTAACCTGCTGCTTACACTCTCAGTTGTAGCTTTTATTTCACTGAAAGAGTCTTTCACTTCCAGGAGTTCTGCTACATTATTTTTTATGGAATTTATCTCTGTAAATTTCATCCTTCAAGTCCCGGATTGTTTTTCTTGTTTCATTGTGTTCGCTAACTGAGTCTTTCTGTATCTCATTAAGTTTGTTCAAGATTGTTACTTGAAGTTCCTTTTCAGTCATTTCAATGGTTTCCTGCTCTATAGGATCTGGTACTTGAGAATTATTGTATTCCTTTGGTGGTGTCATATTTCCTTGTTTTTTCATATTTCTAGTCTCTCTACTTTGATTTCTAGTCATCCAGTTGAGCAGTTCCTTCTTCTATTACTCTGAAGTGGGCTTTGAAGAGAGAGATTTCCTCCCATAGATGTGTTTTATATTGATTGTTGAATAGGGTGTATTAGTATTGGTTCTGGGTAGACTCAGCAGTGCAGTCTCTGTGTGGGTACTTCTGTCATATTCAGTGCTGGAGCTGTGTGTGAATGACTCTGTGGTGTAGTCACTGGGGTACTTAGTGATTTCTTGTTGAGGTTAGTTGGGATGTTGAGGATGTAGGCTAGCTCTCAAGATCTTGGGCAAAGTGTTTGTGTTCCTTGTCACTCTTTGGGTGGGGTGAGTAAGCCTAGGTGGACTTATTGGCTCTCTGGCTAGTGACCTGTGACCCTGATGGGTGCACTGGTGTATGCTAGATCTCCTCAGCTTGAATAAGTGACCCTGGGCAAGGTTTCTGGTTCCTTGTCCAACAAGCCAAGGCTTCTCCAGGATTCTTGCTTCCTTTGGTTGGGGGCTGGGTTGGTGGTGGCTGGGAATTTTCTTCTGTACACTATTTGGTTATCTTGGGTTTCTGTATTCTCCAGGTTTTTGTATGTGTGACTCTCCCTGGGTGAAGGCAGTTGTGCTCACTGCACATAGGGTGAAAGTCCCCATGAATTGTGTCACTGGAGTGTGGGACTGCATTAGCTTACCTCTTTCCGGTGTCTCCATTTGTGACCCTTCTTGTCTTAATGTATGGTGACATGGTGGGTCCTGTCCTCAGCCAGTCTGAGTGGTGCAGCGGCAGTGACAGTGGTGTATGTGACTGCTGGTGGCAGCAGTGGCAAAAGCAGTGGTACAGGCAATAGCAGCCAAGGTCCCATACCCAACTAGGCTGACTACTTCATTATCGGCAGGGAGTCATGCCCACTGCTGGTTTGGCTGATGCAGTGGCCTGGCTAGGGGTTCTGTGCCCAGTCTCTCTGGCTGGTGCAATGGCTACAGTAGCAGCAGCCACACTGCACGTAACTATGGTGGGGATGCCACACATAAAAGGACCAGCTGGTGAGGTGGCGTGGGCGGGGGTCCTGGCTGCAGCTGGTCTTGCTTATACGGCTATGTGGAAGGTCCCTGGCAATGGCCACTGTACTGCAGGCAGCAGCAAGAGGTCCCACCTCCAGACGGAGTTGATACTGCTTAAACATTAGCAGGGGTTCTGACACCCAGCCGGTCCTGCTGATGTGATGGCCATGGCAGGAGCAGCTGAACTGCACACAACTACCACCACTATGGCAGGGGACCTGCAAGAAGCTGAGCTGGCTGTTGAGGCTGCTTGGGCGGGGATCCCACGCGGTTGGTCTGCCTGGTGCAGTGGTGTGGGAAGGGATCCTGTGCACATCGTCCTGGTTGAAGCTGTAGCAACAGTTAGGATGGCTTCCAGCAGCAGCAGCAGCTGGAGCTGCATTACCGGTGACAGCAGCGTGGGATAGGGCAAAACTCACAGTGGGAAGGCAGGCGACAGTCCCATGTCCTGAGAACGTCACCAGCAAGCACAATGCTGGTAGCGATGGCCCTGTTCTGGTCATCTTCTGTGGGAGAAATGCGCCCTAGGTTTCTCTAGCCTGCCGTCTTCCCACAATTTGATTATAACCAGATTTTAATTGAAGTTGATGTCTTAGAAAATACTATAATCCCAAATTACAGTAGTCTTTTATTTATAAAATATCTTCCCTTTACAATATAATTTGTATATATCATGTTATCACATAAGTATATAAATGAACCTCCCCCATAGTTCCAATCCCACAAAAATGACAGCTGGTTTAGAAATCTTTCCTACATAAATATCACACCCTTGGTGAAATCAACAGTCTTTTCGTGGAAAAAAATTAAAATATGTGCTAAAATTAGAAAATGCGAAAGACTGCCTAATTTTCAATTTCAGAAAAGTGCTGCTTGAAATAAGGTGCACAAAGAGGAAAATCATGTCTATATCAAGAATAGGCTTTTTTTAAAAACATTATCACCATAACTTAACAGAATTCTGTAATGACACCCAAAACTTGAATAAAAACAACATTCCTCTGCATGCCAGGATTTCCTTATGAAAGGACCAATGTTTCTAAGGCAGCTTTTCCAAACTTTTCTCCAATATATCTACTTGTGAGCAAATATATATCTTTATTTAAAAGTTCCAGTGGGTGCATTTGAAATAAATATAAAAACGAGAAACGGTATTCAAGAAACACTCTTTGTTGGCATTCCGTTACCTTGAAATCCCCTCTAATATTTTCCATATGGTTCAGAGACTGCATGCACATAATAGGACATTGGTTCACAAAATGGATTGCTATTCACATAGCGTCTCCAAGATTGCCACAGCTGAGCTTTTCCATTTCCAATTTAGAATACTGCTGTAAACAGTTTTTAGAAGGGCTATGACAACGCACATTTCAATACAAAATTGTCCTTCCTAACTGATCTTGTTGATTGAAGCGGCATGATGAGGAATACTAATTAATTAACTTCTTTCACGTCAACATTCTATCTGTCATTGTCCCTCTCTTGCATTTAGAACTGTTTTGTACTTTTTTTAAAAGGCAGTTTGGATTTTAAAAGTTCAATAAAAATAAATAAACCAAAACATACTTCGGTCACCATGAAATTTCTTGCATGTTTTTACTGCAACAAAAACATCTTCCTTCTTCACTGGCTTTCCCTAAAAAACAAGAAAAAAATATATGGATATATGAGTCAGCATTCCCTTAACTTTACACCCACATTAGATGTCGCATGCTCTTGAGTACAACAGAAGATGTAAAGGCGACACATGCAGGGACTTGACAACAACACACCCTTCAATTGTTTCATGGGAGGGGGTGTTCTGACTGTTTTAGTATCTGTCTTAGGTCTGGAATGATATGCAATCTTGCCTCCTACATCATCTGGGGCTGGTTTACAATCACTCCTAACCACAGCTTTGTCATGTCAATAAAGGCACTAGGAGGGACATTAAAAAGCAAGCAAGTTAAATGTCTAGAAAGACTGATTTTCCTCCTTAGGAACTGCAAACATTACAGATTCCCTCCCATTGCCGTACTCTGTTGTGTTTTGCTGTGTGTGTGTGCGTGTATACATTTATTTTTTAAATTGCACACACAGACTTCTGTGTGACTAAGAGTAACAGAAGACATCTGATGTTGGTGAACATAGTTTCCCTCATGACAAGGAACTGCTAACAACCTAGTGAGTTCAGAGTCTTCAAGTGCATCCTGGAGACCAAAGTTCCGCCATACGAGTGAGCTCATTCTGAAAGTTCTGGGGAGTCTCAGGTAAGAGCAAAGGCAGAGTCACCTGTTGAGGGAGTAAAGGCGATGGGCTTGTGGAGAAGGCTTAGGTGTCACAGAAAATGTTTGAAATCACCTTTCTGGGAAATGTAATAAAAATTCCAGTCAACACATGCTATGTCACCAACAAAAGAAATGACTGTGGGCACACTGATTCTAAAAAGCAGTGGCAGGCGGTACCTCACAAAGGCTCTGGGGTGACAGGGTGCTGGTCATAACCTTCACTTCCCTCCCAACTAACTGTATAGCCCTGAGCAAGTACTCAGCTTCCAGGTGCCTCTCTTTCCTCACATGCAAGGTGGGGTAACAACAGCACCTACCTTTGTCATTGCTAGAGACGTCATATATAGTTCTTACCAGGTACAGGGCAAGTGATGTTGGGCTTTTTTTTTAATATGTGAAGTGCTAGGACAACACTATGCACAGCATGCAAATTTTCCTTTGATATGCAAGTTAGTTTTTCTTCTATTACTTACACAAAGAGGTAGAAAAGAATGGAATGTGGTAGCACAGTAGGAGTCTGTCCTGTCTGCACAAAACTCAGGCACTGGGGTAAGGGGAGGTCCTCCGCCCTTGTCCCAGATGTAGAGGGCAATCTGTCACAAGACAGGAGATTGGCAATGAAGAAGGAGCTCAGCCAACACTTAGTACTTTATAATAAAGCATAAAATACATCAAGGGAGAACGTACCTTCTATAGACAGTATTAGACTGAACCATATCAACGTGTCAACATTCAACAGGGTTGCTTTGTTTTAAAATTAAAAAATGGTAATTCCATATGAATCAACCTAATCTTTTATTAACAATTAAGTATGAATCAATATTCTGACCTCCAGGAAACTCCAAAATTGTCAATAAGCAATTTCAGGAAGGAACACATTCTAAAACATCACAAAGAAATGTAAGAGAATATTATCGTGTCTGTTTTCCTGCAGAATGGTAATTACGTAGCCTGAATGACTCTCTGAAAATATCTAAAAATGCTAGATAAAGTGTCTATAAAATCATTTTAAACATCTTGCTAGTTGGTACAAAAACGTGGAACCTGTGAGAACAAAAATGTGAAAGTGAGAACCTGGGAAAAAGGCCGGGGTAGTTTTCCACCGTGGGCACCGGCGGGGCCCCGGTGACACTGGGTTTCTGAGAGAGTGACAAGACAGAGGCCTACGGCCGCCTGAGGTGGGACATGGCCAACAGCAACCCCACAGAAAGCTAGGACCTTGCAGCTGGATGGAAGGGAAACGTCATCTTCAAATCTCCACTGAGATTTTGTAACCAAAAGCCAGGCCTCCATAATGTGTGCCACCTGCGAGGTCCCAAAACACCTCAAACAGAGAAATTTAAAGTAGCCTCAAGTCAGTATAATCTGCCGGCAGCAGGCAGAAGCTGATGTAAGTCCTTACCCACAACCTTAATATAGGCCTCAGAGGACTTTTCCAAAGGCACAAGAGAAAAATCACAAAAGTGCAAAAAAAAGAGAGAATGAACAAGAAGACCAGCACACACAATTTAATCAGACTCAAGAGACTTCAGCTACTGAATTATCAGATTATAAAATTACTCTATTTAATACATTTTTATAAAGAAGAGAAAAAGTTTAAAACATGAGCAAAATTATTGTTTAAAACGATTACACAAAACAAGCAAATTTGAAAAATAACTGAATAGAACTCCTAGAAATGAAAAATATAATAATTAAGATGAAAAATTTAATGGTTAGGGTAAGTAACATTAGACACAGCTGAATAAAAAATTAGGAACTAAAGAATGAAGCTCCCAAAATTATCTAAAAGGTAGCACAAGAAATAGAAATGGAAGAGAAAAGTTCGCACCTCTAGCATACTTCTAGAGTTCCAAGAGGACGTAACAGAGAGAGTAGGAATGAAAAAATAATCGAAAAGATAATAGATGAGAATTTTCAAAAATTGCTTAACAATCCTATTATAGAAAGACCCAATGAATCCTAAGCAAGATTACAAAAACAGTCTGCACCTAGACATGTTCCAATGAAACTGCAGAACACCAAGAACAAAGAAGGTTAAAAGCAGGCAGAAAAATGCCAGATTACCTACAAGGGAACCGCACCAGACTGAGAACTGATTTCTCAACACCATAGCAGTAACAGAGGCCAGAGTAGAGTGGAATCACACCACTCTGATGAGAGAAGATGACTGACACCCTAGAATCACATGCATGATAGAACTATGCTTTAAGAACAAAGTTGAAATAAATATTTTTAAAGAAACAAAAAAACTCAGAGAACGTGCCACTTCATTAAGGGAATTTCTAAAGATGTACTTTAGGAAGAATAAAAAGATCCCAGTTAGAAGATCTAAGAAGCAAGATGAAACAGTCAGCAAAGATACTAGCAAACACATAACGAAGCTTATATGAGTGTTAACTGTATAAAGTAGTAATAATAGCTAAGTTTCAGGGGGGACAAAAAGACAGAATAAAAATATTGAACAACAATAGCACATAAATTGGGAGTGGGATATCAGAGTAGAAGTATGCTAAGAACCTTGATTTTTCTGGATACTGATTAATTAGCTATAGTTAGGTTAGGAATGCATGTTAAAATATTTAAAATAACCAATAAAGTATAGACATACAGATTGAACAGCCAAAATAGTAGAGAAGTAAAAATATAGATTAAAGGAAAAAAACATCAAATAGAAGGCAAAGACATTCTAAAAAGAAAAACAGAAAATGGGGGCAGAAAAGGATAAATAAAGTAATAGACATCAATTCAAATACTATACTAGTTATCACAATCAATGTAAATGTAAATTTGCTATTTGGTTATGAAACACAGGAAAAAGAAAGACATGTTCTCTTTAAAAGAGACATATCTAAAAGATAATGACATAAAAGGGTTGAAAGAAAAAGATAAAAAACGATTATGTGGCAAATACCAAAAGAAAACTAGTATAGAAAGTCATGTGAACAAAATAAACATTAAGATGAAAAGCATCACTAGAGATAAAGGTAAGTTCACTAAGAGGACGCGACAATCCTAAGCCTGTTTGCACCTAACTAACATAGCCTCAGAATATAAAGGGCAAGAGCCGCAGTTCCACAAGAGAAATTGTCAATCCACCATTACAGTGCAAGATTTCCACCTTCCTCCCCTAGCAAATGATAAACCAAGCAGATAAGGGGCTGGCCCGGTGGTGCACTGCGCTAGTGCGCCGCTTGAGAAGCGCGGCGGCGCTCCCGCCGAGGGTTCGGATCCCACATACAGACCGGTTCCCGCTCACTGGCTGAGCGAGGCGCGGGGGCAACACCGAGGGTTGCGATCCCGTTGCCGGTCCTGGTCCGGTATGGGGGCGACACTGAGGGTTGCAATCCGTTGCCGGACACGGAAAAAATTAAAAAAAATAAAAAAAATAAAAAAAACCAAGCAGATAAAAGAAGAATGAAGGAATGAAGGAATAAAGCCGTGAAGGCAGGAAAGAAAGAAGTATCTGAAGCACACAATATAAAGAGAATATTATACCCCCCAAATTAGAGAATTTGTACCCTTTTCTCCATTTATGAAAACTGAACATGAACTAGGCCATAAAGTAAGCCTAAAAATAATCCCAATGACTGTTATATAGACTACAATAATACCAAGTTAGAAATCAATAACAAAAACACAAATATATCGGGTGACAATGAAAAATGTATTTTTTTAAAGTGGGTCACAGTCAAAAAAAGTTTAAAAACCTTGCCTTAGAGAAACCCTTGCAGATGATCACCATGACACACATCTAAAATATTCATAGAAGCAATGATCGTCATAGCAAAACACCAGGAGCAACTCAGAAGCCTACTAACAGGAAAATGGACAAACAACTTGTGACATGGCCAGTACAGTTAATTAGAGCAGCAGGATGAGTCTCAAATTAGAACAATTTCATAGTGCAATTCTGTTTGTATAAAGCCCAAAAGGATGCAAAACTACGTAATACATTATTCAGAAATAAAATCATGTGTCATAAAATACGAAGAGAAGTAAGAGAGAGAGAATTCAAAAGTAACACTAGGGAGAAGCAGACAGGTAGCCTCAAGGTGACTGCTAATGTTCTCTCTTTTACACCAGGTGGGCTATACAGATATGTTGTTCATTGATCTTTATACCTTTTACGTATGTTAGAAATACTCCTTTGTATGTATTCAAAACTTAATAGAGTCCCAAACCTGGGGATCTTGGTTTGACAGATGAGAATATGAGAGGTGACTTTTCATTAAACACATCTAGGCAGACCCTGGTTATCAACAATCATTCTTTCCTTTCTGTCGAAGAGAAGAATGATTTTTTAAAACGTATATTTCTCATCGAATTGGCTGTTTCATCATTTTAAAATAAGAAGTTAAAAAGTCTTGTGTGTGTCCGTTTTGGTCTTAGAAGGCTGCCAGCACTGTTAGACTGAATTACATGTCAAAATTCACCTCAGTGTCCTAAGATACACATTCCTGCACAGAGTGAGAGGCAAGTCTGTCTCAGGCAGTCAGACATGCCCATGAATGAAATGCAAAAGGGGCCTTTTTAATGATAATTCAAGAATAATAATGATGGAATACCTGCCGCCTGCCGCCAGTATAACTGATCACAGATGTCCAATAAATGCCAACAAAACCAGGGGTGCCACGGCGGCCTGCTTGAGACCAATCAGCTCAATTCTGTTCCAGGGAGCCAAACACAACAAAGGTATTTTGTTCGACTGCTAACAAAATACCACACACTGGGTGGCTTATAAACAACAAAAATTTATTTCTCACAGTTCTGCGGGCTGTAAAGTCCAAGATTAAGGTGCTGGTAGATTCAGTGTCTGGCGAGTGCCTGCTTCCCGGTTCATAGATGGCGCTTTCTCCCTGTATCCTCACATGGTGGAAGGGTGAGGGAGTCCCATGGGTCTCTTCTATAAGGGCAAAATCCCATTCATGAGGGCTCTACCCTCATGACCTAATCACTTCCCAAATACCCAACCTCCTAATACCATCACCTTGGGGATTAGGTTTCAACATATAATTTTGGGGGGGACACAGACATTCAGTCTATAGGAGCATATGTACAACCAAAGCACCCGGTAAGACAAGAAGTACTTTAAACGACGCTTGCAAGTTTTTAGAAAACCACCTCTGGACTCCTCCGCCTAGCTTAAAAACAAAGAATGATGACCCGCAAAACACAGTTTCTTTTCCTGTTCCTTCTCCACCTCATCATGCAAATGAGCTTAAAACAGAAGAACCTAATTCACTGGACGGCTGTGAAGTTACCCCAGTGAGATGGATGTGGGGGGGGGGGGG